TTAGATTAGATATTTGTTTTTGTTTAACATTAAAATAGCCTATATATTTCACAAAGGACTAGTATGTAGATCTTTCTCCTTCAAAACTCTTCTATATTTAAGAAACATTTTCTCCATCTTTCAGGACCAAGAGGAAATATTTCCCCATATTACTACAATAAAATATAAATGTATATTTTAAAAGTAGAAAATATTTTTAATATTAAAAACTGTGTAGGCCATAGCTTTGTTAAGCCATGGTCTGATCATGTGGCTCCTTAAGCCACGGTCACCATGTTTTCTAGCCCTGGTTCCCTCCCCTACCTTGGGGAGGTGAATCTCTTCTCTCTCTCTCTCTGTCTCTCTAATTTACTTTTTAAATAAACTATGTTTTCCAATCTAAAAAAAACTGTAAATGATTAAGCACGTATTTTATACATTTTGGAGATTAAAAGAAGATAGAATATTCTGGACTTTTCCTTCTGTCTCTTCTGTTAAACCACCCCCCTCCCCTGATTTTCCAAACAGTATAAAATAACTGGAGGCTACAAAGATCAATAAGACATAGTTCCTGACATGAATCAGTTAGAAAAAGATAATCAAAAACATTAAAAATAACTGTAGCACTAGCTACTGTCTAATTGACTTACTTTGGGCTAAGAGGTTTATGTGAATAATCTGATGTAATCTTCAGTATGTTCACCGTCCTTTACTCCCTAAACACTGTCCTCCTTGCTTGCTTAATCAGTTTAGGTCCCTTGCTTCAGCCTGAGCTTCTCTCTCTCTCAGCACTCATCTGGAAAAGCCCCTGTTCAGTTGCCCATCCTGCCTGCTCCATGTCTGCTTGTATGCAGTAGTCCATGGCTGAACCCACAGCCATGCTTGCTGGTCTCTCTTTAAATGATGACTGCTGGCTGAAGGGAATTATAAGTGCCACCAGATAGTCATGCCATATTTCCCTAGTTCCTTTGCTCTCCTGGAAAATTATTTCATATCAACTCTTTCTCCCTTTTCCTAGTAGTTTCTCTCCCACGTGGTCTTAGCTGATGACAGAGGAAATAAATGCAATCAGAAGATGAATTCCACAAAGTCCCTCTAGAAAATATAGCCAGCAACCTGTCTCTGCTAGTACTGTTTCTTCAGTTATTGTGGAGGAATTGTCTTATTCCTAGTGAGGGCAAGCCCCCAACTCCAACACTAGATGTCATCTGTGAACTTCCAAGGGGGAATTGTCTCATTTCTCTCCTGCCGCATCAAATTTCCTTTCCTTACTGAATCAGCACCATTGGCACATGGCTAATCAGTACTCAGGAACTTCACTGAATCTGTTTTACTGTCCATTCTGTGGCCCATATGATGCCCTGAAATTTTTGGATGATATCACATTAGCAAAGTGATTCTTCACCATCTTGAAGTCACCTACTCTAAAATCTAGAATCAGTAAACTCTAAAAAGTCATAGAGAAGGAAACCTAGATATTGCAAAATCTAGATTCTGACCACATGTTATTTAGTTCCAGAAAAGCTCTTCTTGTACCCATTTACTCTTTCTTCAGACACAATTTAAAAAATTTTTACTCACCTGGTAGTTATCGAGGAATTTTTATGGGCAAAGATCTATTTCACGTACTCAACCAATATAATAGACATACTTTTTGCCCTGAAAGAGCTTACATGCTAGTGAAGGAGAGAAGGATAATATCCAATAATAAATTAATATGTCCTGTGGTACTGTGAAGATAAATAAAGCAGGAAAGGGTGTAGCAAGTGATGACTTGTACTCATTTGAACAAGGGTATGATATAAACCCCATGAGATTTGGGACTTACTATTATTATTTACCTCTGGTAACAGTAGCAACTAGGAAAGTAATGGCATGTAGTAAGCATAAGGTAAATATTTTGTGAATGATGTGAGAATCAATGAATGAATGAATGAGTGATGGTGAAGAATAGAACCGAGTTAGTAGGTTACAGCAATCCAGGTGATAGTTGATGGTGGCTAGACACAGAGAGAAACTTTGCAAACGGTGAGAGGAGACCATAGTCTGGATATATTTAAGTGAACCAATAGTATTTACTAAAAGATTAGGTAGGGAGTGTGGGGAGTGTAATTTAAGGAGAGAAACCAAGGATGGTGCCACACTTGTGGCCTGAGCAATTGGACTAGCGTAACCATTGATTTAGGTATGGAAGTCTGCAAGTACGGCACCTGTGTCCAAAATTGGGGTGTCCAAAATTATTTCTTTAGAACTGTAAATCAAATTTCTATCTTTGTGTCTTCCTTTCTTTCAAAGTTTCCCAAGATACCTAAAGCCAAGCACTGCTGTGTATCCAAGGAAAACCAGTCAGAGTCATCCTACCATGGAAAATATCCCTATTGGTTTCATTCTTCTCCCTCTTGACCAGAAGAAGCATATTGTGTTGATGGCTGTCTTTCTTATAGCCAAGGAAAGCTTTTTCCCTTCAAATTGATCTTAGATGCTTTATTTTAAGAAAGTGAAAGATGAATGAATGGAATGAAACAGGTAAAAAATAGTGGTGGTTGTATATTGCTGATGATGACAACAGCTTGAACTGATTAGCTGGTTATTGTGTGTTCCTGTGCATCTTGTCATAGCAGTCTGACCTGGAGGAACACGTCAAAGTTTATCCAAGTCTTTAAATTGAAACACACACACACACACACACACACACAGTCATCAAGTGATCAAAAATATGGTATAAAGCAATTTGGCAAAGAGTGTTCTGGATTATAATGATAGTAGCAGAGGAAGTAGCCCAGATGCAAGAAAAGCAAAGAAACTCATGGAATTAAAAAAAAAAAAAAAAATGAAGCAATTTTTTTTTTTTGAGGATTGTAAATGTACCCTACACATTGTTGCCTTTCTTAAGAAAAATTTGCAAGATCTCTTCCAGCAAGTTTGGGGAGTAAAATCTACAGGAAAGAAACAGAGGGAGCTCTACTGGGTTCTATAGTATGTAGTTAATTTTCCTTTTTCTCTGTTCTAAATATAATACTGCTCATTTGCATGCCAGTCCCCAGAATGCTTTGTAATTTCACAACTCTTGGCTAGTAGTCTCAGCACTTATGCTTTAAGAACAAAGCAAAGGTTTAGGGCGTGCCTTTGGCCCAGTCTTCTTGTTTTGTTTTTTTTTTTCTCCTGTGTTTTGGGAAGGATTATAGGGAGGTGACCTTTGCTTGGCACTCAACCTCCTTTCCAGAGTATCCCAGCAATAAAGTGGAGACTGTGACTTCTCCTGTGCAGACTGCATTCGGTTCAATTACCCATAAATAACCAGAAGCTTGGATTAACTCTCTTTAAAGGGAGTGTTTAAGAGGGGCTCTGTGTGTCCTTGGATTATGTGATCAGGCCGGTTCATTTCAGGTTTAGGGAAAGCCTGAGCTGGAGCTGAAACACCCTCTCTCTGCGATGCCTTCTGTGGCTTCTCCACCGCTGTAGCCTTAGTTTAATGACAACCTGTCCAGAGCCGTGATCAGTGGCCTGCCTCACAGAAATGTGAATTCAAGATCCTTAACACAAATTGAGTCATGCTTAATGACATACAGAATTTCTGTGTAGTAGGACATTAAAATGGACAATTAGAGGCTGGGGGTGGTAGGAGACTTGTCTTAAAAGGGATTTCTAATTTTTGCATAGCGACCATTTTTTGGTTATTTAAATTGTGCATTCGGGATTATTTCTCCATAGCGTCGGGAAGCTCCCTCACCCAGCCACCACTCAGCCCCCAGCCCCCAGCAGGCCCCACACACCTTTCAGGGCCCACCTCAGCGGCCTCTCCGAGTGTGTTTCCCTTGGCCACTTGATTTTAGCGGGTAGCTGAAGGACAACGTATTCCAGCGCGAAAGGCCGTGTTCTGCCCCCAATAACACGGTACCCGTCGTCTTACCAGCCCCACCCCACATAAGCTAGGGTTTCGGGGCAGTGCCCGTGGTTGCTGGCTGAAAGGGACACGAGCAGAGCTCAGACCCAGGGCCCTCTGGGACGCCCTCGGCGGTGGCGCCCACGCACAGGTGCTTTCCCGGCTCACGGGTGCGCCCTGCACTGCCTTCGATTCTGCGCGCCGGGGTGGAGCGTCTTCAGCAAAATAGGGCTCGGAGAATATCTGTAAGACGCAGGGGGG